AACTATTCGAAGCAGAAAAAAAACAGCGTAATATACCATCTGACAATGACAGATTTTTCTTTTTGGATATTTTACAAATCACTCCCCTTTCAAACTCTATTCTTGTTATTTTTAACAACTTTTTTTTGTTACTGTTATAGTATTTTATACCTGTTAATAATTGAGTCTCTAATGTCTTATTAATAACTATAATGATCATATCAAGGTGTGCCTTAACCTCACTGAGCTGAGGTTATTTGAGCCTCTCAGGAGAGAGCTCTCTTCCACCTGGTTGTAGAAAAGCTCTTTAAATTCGTTAGCATAGCTAGCTAACCAGATGCTAATAACAACAGATCGCAACTGTGCTTACAACTAAAGACACAGCCTCGCAAACACTGCGGCATGTGTACGGCTCCTTATGGGTACTGCAATATTTGAAGAGTTGGAGCGGCGTTCCGATGCACTCCGTTACTCCTTTCAGACGAGACATAACCACGTGAAGACCTATGGTGAAGACACGTTACGCTCGTGTTGTGTTCAATTAACCTGTCCTTGGCCAGGAAAAACAGGCACTTGCTTGTTTAATTATTTTGCAATCTAGATTTCTTCTTCTTTTTTGAAGTGAGAAGTTGTCCGTCCGTCCGTCCTACTGAATATATTTAATATATCATATACGAGCAACGATTAGTCCGAATTGACAACTACTAGTCGACTAGAAAAATCTTTAGCGGAAGGCAGCCCTAATAACAATGTTTTTAATGTTAAGTCATTTAAATATCAGCTTTCAGAAGAATAAAACTAAAATGAGCAGCTAATATGAATTACTTGTGTAATATTGGCATCATGGTGCTCCTGCAGCTGTTCATCATGAAGAGCTTCTGTACTGCTGCCACACACTAGCTAGCGGTGAGCTACAGGGGTTAGCGCCTCAGGGAATGTACACCTAAAGATTCTCTTCAATCTGTCAGGTCATCAATGTGGACGTGCATTCCTAGCTTTGAAAAATATATAACCAGGACAAACTTTGGACTGGAGTTTACGGACCAGCGGTTAATACACAACAGCTGAAATAGCAAAATCAAAAGAGAATGGTTCACCCAAAAATAATTTTCTTTGACGTTGTCACTCTTACTCTGAGTAATTTCTCTTTCTTGAAAGAGCGTCTTGTTGCGTTCTGTGAGATGTTCAGTTCTTCTGTTGTTCTTTACCTTCTTGCCGGACAGCGGCTTGCTGCAGAACAGAGCCGGGGGGGCTGCAGCGTTCATCTGGAAGGTGATTAGGTCAGACGCAGAGCCTGAGGGAGTCTTCGCCTTCTTTTGTGACTTTTTAGATATGGATGGCTTAGCAAAACCCTGAAACAGAAAACCAGTTCAGAAGTCACCTCTGTGTTATCTCAGTGTAATCACAGTCTTTTCTCACCAAATACTCACAGTGCCTGCTTTGGGCTTCTTGGCGACAGTTGGTTTCTCTGCCAGGCCATTGGTGGATGCAGCCTCCAGTTCATCGGCCTCGTACTCAAATGTCACTGGGATCTTTCTCTTCTTCTTCTTCTTCACACCTTTCACACAGGAAGACACAGCTCCAGTTCCTTCCGGTTGGAGCTCATCGACGCAGCCATCCACCAGTAAATGGGTTTCATCCTGCTCATCCATCTTGGCTGCTGCCAACTTATTTTTCTTCTTTGCTGGTGTTGTCATGGTGATCTTAAACTCAGCATCTTTAGCCTGAGGGTTTCCCTCTGCTGCATCCTTTTCCTCTGAAGTCTGAGGTTCCTTTGGAGTATTTTTCTTTTTCAGCAGTTTTACAGTGCTTTCATCTGCAGCAGGTGAAACTGTGTCCACTTGGTTGGCATTTTTATTTTTTTTAAGCTGCTGTGTGGAGGCATCTTGTGATACTTCCTCACAGACTGATGAAACTTCAGAGTGTTTTTCCTCTACCTCCAAATGTGCCTCAGTCTCAACAGCTGGTACTTCATCAGCCTTGCGGGTCTTTTTCTTACTCTTCTTCTTGTTATTCTGGGATGTAGAATCAGTTGGCTTCTCGACTGAAGTAGTCGGGCCCTCTTGCCTTGAAGGCTGACAGTCTGATGGGAGATCTGCTCCTGTGCTCACAGCATTACCCTCAGTGTCAGATGTCATTGTTTCATTTCTTTCAGAAGACTCCTCACTAGTTACTGGTGTGATCTCTGCCTCTGCGGTGTCCAGGGATTCATCAGCAATCTCATCAGTTGGTAACTTTGCTTTCAGACTCTTCTTCTTCTTCTTCTTCTTCTTCTTCTTCTTCTTCTTCTTCTTCTTCCCAGAGACTGTTGCAGGGCCTTCAGAGGAACTCTCTGTTACAACAGGAGTCTGCTGCTCCTTGGCCTCCGTCACATTGGCTCTGACATCACAAGTCTCCACCTCTTTCTTCTGGGCAAGCGTTTCAGAGCTGTCCTTGTTGTCAGAGGTGCAGGGAGCTGGAAGGCTGCTTTCTGCTGTGACTGTAGGCTGTTTGTTTTCTTCAGTGAGGAGCACAGTGTCTTGCGTCTGTGCTGCCTCTTCTAAGTGTGGCGTTGGTGCACACTGCGGCCCTCCTGCAGTCTCTTCTCCTTCAGCTGGAGCCACTGAGTGTTCAGGCATGTCTGCATCTCCCTCACCACCTGCACTTCCTCCCTGTCCCACTTTCTTTTTCTTCTTCCTCCTCTTCTTTTTGTTTTCATTACTTGCATTAAGGTCAGCTGGCTTCTTATCTTCTTTCCCTGACTCCTCCTTGCTTTGCTTGTCGAGTTTGGAGGCCGCCTTTTTCTTTCCTTAAGTAAGAGACACAGATCAGTTTAATATATTGAAATCATTAAAAAGAAAGATTTGAAAAGGGGAAAGGTTTCTATAAAAACACTTACACCAGTTTGTCTTTAATGACCTGCCTCAACAACAAGAATTTTCTGTAAGTTAAATATGAAGTTTGTCGAAAGGTTGGATCACTCATTGATAGGTTAGGACAAGTTTACCCTACACAAACAGCAATGTCAAACAGGTTAGTGAAATATCAAAAGAGAATTCAGTCTGATCAATGTTTACCTGTGCATTAACATCATTCTTTGTTAGGTTGCCTAGCTACAATGTTCTTTCACCACAGCGTTCCACACAGAGACACCTGACCAACCGCTGCCCTGGACGTCAACATGTCGATCTCATTAGAACATGTTAAGGGGTATTCAGAAATGTGGAGAGAAACACTTAAAAGTGGTGTGGGAATAAAATATTAAAAGAAACCACTTTTAGTTTATGGTTTCATCTGAAGGAAAATAAAGAAACCGCTTTTTTTCAAACCAACTAATTAGAGGGAATAGAGTATAACAGATTACATTGCTCCCTTTTTACAAGGTAAGCTGTAATATTCATTGCTTTATTACCCTGAGCCTGTTTTTCAGGTCTCAGACTCGAAAAAGACATTCCCAGAACAAATGACCATAACTTCACTTCTTAAAAAGGGATAAATTAATAATCTTGTAGAATGGGATGTAGAATTGTCAGAATCAATATAGATGTTTTTAAGTTTAAAGTAAATTCAGATTGAACATAGTAAAAAAATGTAAATTATAGTGTCCGTCCAAAAAAAAAGAGTTACTTGAAAAACAAACTTTTTTCAATAATGTACCCCCTTTGAAAAACATATTCAGCCAAATACCCCCTGATCAGTGCAAAAAAAAATCGTTTTTCAAGTAACTCTTTTTTTTTGGACGGACACTATAATTTACATTTTTTTACTATGTTCAATCTGAATTTACTTTAAACTTAAAAACATCTATATTGNTATATATATATAGACAGACAGGGTTGATATATACACAATACAGCTTTATTTATATACAGTCGTGTTATAGTCACGAATACAATTAATCTATTATAGTGTTCACAAACACGATTTTCCCATTGTTTTCGTTTCTCACGGAACGATAACGCTACAACAACAAAGCGGCGTCCATTTTGTATTTTGCGAGTGTGGAATTACTATAGATTACACCAAATACACAACTAATAGATACAAACGGAGAGAGTACATACCTTTCCTGAAGTTCATAATCAGGGTCTGATTGTGGCCAAAGTACATCCTCATCTTCTGACGGAGAGTCAGCGAACAACATTTCCACGGTGTCTTCAAGCTTATACAGCCTCTTTCTGGGTGCCATTATATGCTCGAATAAGTCCTAAAAGCAAATAAATCCTTGTCCTTCTAATATGATCTTCTATTGCCTGCTGTTGTCTCTGTTCGCTGGCTGTGTTCACTGTGTTCGTCGCTGTGTTGTCGCTTCGCTGTGTTCGTTGCTGCTGTGTTGTGCTGGAGCGGTTGTGCGCCTTGCTGTGCTACGTCTGTGCGTAAAGGTGCCGCTGCTGGCATTATTCATACTACGCAGGATCCTATCTCTGGAACCCATTGGTCGATTTTGGGGGTTGACACCTTTTTTTGAAACTTTAGAGCCAATAGAATCAAGGGGGAGTTAGTAAATCCCGCTAAATACTTGCGTCAAGGAGAGAGAGGTTTGCGTAAACAGCACATGAGACAGCCGGAGCCCTGGACTGCAAAACTTTATACCTACTCTGCGGCCATGAATGTAATGATCGATTATCAGGAACAATTCTAAAGTGACTAAGAGACATTGGATTAACCTTGAGCAGCATTTTTATTCCCTTGAACACGACTTTTGATCACAAAACAGCAACGGTAAGATATAATTATTGTTATGGTTTAGAACAGTGTTGTTGATTTATTGCTCTGTTCTGGCCGCTAGCTCAGTGAGTTTGTGTCCTACAGTGATGATACTTATATCAAAATAATCTGTGGAGTATCAGCTTTCAGAAGAAATGTAGTTTGTGCAGAACATATTAAGTTTTAAAGATCGTTTTTGCTAGTTAGCACCGGAAGTAGCATCAGCCTGTTTTCACTAAGGGCTAATGCGAACGCTTCTTGTGAGACTTGTGTTTTGTTTCGGTAAAAATTGCTCATATCGTCAGGTTTCTGAGTTTTTTCCCGTTATTTGAGTACAAGACATTCATAGGTTTTTAATTATTAAGAAGCCCCCAGACGCTTTCTCCTGCAGTGACGCGTTTTTTCCCCCGATATCGGGGGGGCCGGGCTTAAGAGGTTAACCCATAAAAAACACTCTCGGACCACCTAACTCCACAAATATCCCAAACAATAGGCCTTCTTACCACTCCAACAGTATATAACAAAGACAGCCTAATAATGACAGCTTAACCTTCTCTATATCGGGCTCGAAAAGGCCCACCTGTTCAAAGTGGGGAATGAAAGAAAAAGTTTGAGAACCACTGGTGTAGCATAATAAATATGACATATATTTTAGATGTCTCCAGTACCAATAAAAAGACCGATAACGTCGGAGCTTAACCGTACCACAGTCTTTAATAATTCAGCCCCGGGGCTCGGTACCCATCCCTAGTCCTGACATCCACAGCACTCGCCTCTGACCAGGAGGCTGTTGTATTTTGATGAGCTGTGTGGTCTACAGGCTGTACTCTGGTCAGTTTCCATTGCTCTGTCCATCTTATCCATTATTGTGCTTGTGTAAACATGCCTATCACTAAACAGCTGGCTGTCAGTGTGTGGGTGTCATCAATACATTACACACAGAGCAGCGGAGAACGATTGACTGCAGACTGAATCACCAGCAACACGTCAGACAAGTTTACAAGTTGTGAAACATTCGTCCAAGTGGAGAACTCGAAAAGACAGTCTGAATGTAGGATTTCATTTACCAATTGTGAAAACACTGCACAGAGAGGAGATCCTGCAGCTGCTGCTCCTCACACAGAGGAGAGGAGGCCACATTACTTTACAGCTGATGCCTATGAAGAGAAATGGGGCGAAAATCGTCCGGAAATGATGTCTTGCCAATGCATCAGTGCATCCCTATACATCTGGGTGATTACAGCTGCATAAGACATAGAAAATGACTGAGGTTATTTAGCCCAGCTCCTCAGGAGCCGCACAGCGGCTGTTAACTCCTGAACCTGCACACCCTAACAAACTCTTGGGCGTACTTAGTTGAGTTATGGTCCTGGAGTCTTTATCCTGCAACATGAATGATCTCTGCTTAAACCCAAACTAATGATTTATTCTTCTCTCACCTGGTTTTCTGTTGAATGGCAGCCTGCGTGACCTGCATGAAGGTAGGAGCTGATGATCACACGTTCTTTCTTCTCTTAGTTTGATATTTATGAAAGCAAAATATTTGTTCCTGCTCTCTGCCCAGTCTCACTCTGTCTCATTGGCCTTCCTCTCAGGCATCTTCCCTCAGGATGAGTATCCAGATGAGGTCTCCACAGATGAGGATGATGACATGTTCGGTACCAGGAAGAGAATGAAGAGAGGACGAAGCCGTGTGGAGGATGAGGACGAGGGAGTGCCAGCAGCCAAGAAAACCAAAGGTATCTTATGCACTTTACCCTCCGCAAATGCAATATTTTTATTTCCTGCTGTGGGATTACTTTTACCCAGAAAACCAACATGGGCAGTTAAAGGTTATCAGAATAATACTTAACCTGTTTAGCCCGAGAGCCCCCGGTGGAGGGGGCTGCGGGGTTCTTTTTTCTTCACGAAACTGTGTCTCAGGGCTTCTTAATATTTAAAAACCTATTAATGTGTAGCACCAGATTAACGGGAAGAAACTCAGCTAACTGACGATACAAACCATTTTTACCAAAACAAAACAAAAGTCTCATAAGAAGCGTCTAAATGAGCCCTGAGCGAAAAAATGCAAACTGACTTTGGCACAGAACTCAAGATAAAGATACCCTTATTACTTATCGTAACTGCAAATACAATATATCCGATTAAAGCTGAGACTCCACAGATTATATAGGTATAGTATCATCACTGAGCGATCCAAACTCGCGACGGGAAGCAAACACAGACATCACAACACGTACCTTTACGGAGCTTTTACGGGAGATCGTCTCACCGTAGCTGTCAATCTGATCAAAAGACCTGTTCAATGGCATTAAAATGAGAAAAAACGCGGCTGAATCGGTTAATCCATAGGTTGATAATGTGTCTGTGTAATAATTCTTTTCATTTATAATCCATAATTCCATTTTTATGTAAAAATCGGAGAGCAAAAGTTAGCTGCCACCAGAGTTACCGCAGCTTCCGGTCTTAAATAAGGACTATGTGGGAGTTCCCCTCGATTCCATTGGCTCTGAC